TTCTACAAAATGGTTAATTTCATAAATGTTTTATAACGAACTTATCCCAGTGAAGAACATAAAACATTAGACATTACTAGTTTTCTTCCCTTATGTAAACAGTTTCATCGTATTACTTTCAACTGGGCTGGTCTACTAGAGTTAAGCACATTTTAAAAACAAAAGGACTATGCAGTCTTAAAAATTAATCACAGAACAATTGAGTGACAAAAACTGAGTTGCAAGGCACTCGGAACAGTGGAAACACAACTGTTGTAATCTGCCAATAGGATAAGAAATCCATAGCTAAAATGTGGCTAAGGGTGCCTGGGTGGCTCAGTCGGTTAAGCACCTGCCTTTGACTCAGGCTGTGATCCCAGGGTCCTGGGACTGAGGCCCGCGTTGGGCTCCCTGCTCAGCGGGGAGTCTGTTTATCCCTCTCCTCTGCCCTCCCCCCAACCCACTTGTGCTTTCTCTCTCAAATAAATAAAATCTTTTTAATAAATAAAATTAGTCCTTTAAAAAATAAATGTGTGGCTAAGATATGTATTTGGGTATTGAGGGGGGAAAGGTGTAAAAATTATCAATCAGCACTTAAAAATAAAAAGGAAATACCAGTATTAGGTTGGGAAATATGTTTAAGAAGGAAGCCTAAAAAGCAATGAAAATAGAAAAAACAAATTGATACTAAAAGTATTTTAATACACAATTAATTTACACAGTCCATATGAAGCACTCACATTTTACATATTCTTCTGGCTAAATAAAGCATTTAAAAACACTCCAGAATTCAAGAATTTAATACCTCTTAACACATATAAACCACTGAATGGTCAGAACATTTTTATCTAACCATATATATTTTCAGTGACTAACTTTCAAGTTGGTGCATTTTCCCTAAATATATCTAATTTAAATAAAAATGAAACCAAACAAGGAACCAAAAACTAAACGATTTGTTTTACGAGTCAATTAACATCTATATGGCTTTACAATGTCAAGTGTTATATTAAAACTGGCAGGCACAGGATATAATACAATGTTCCCAATGCTGAGAAATTTGGAGGAATTAAAAAGCAAATGGTAGCATTCCAGTAGACAGTAATGCAAATTCCAAATCTAACCTTAAGTTTGCTGAGGCAAAAGACACACTGTAATCTGAAACATTATGATTAAACATTTACACTAGAATTTATCTCCAAACCTTCTGGAAATCATCACTGCGACTAAATTCCTAAAGAAGCTCAGTACTGTTAAACTCTTTGCTCAGTTTTTCCTAATACAAATTCTATATCCCCATGGGTAAAATAAAAGTATATTTTAGTTGATTTATCTTCATTATTTAGCTTTTAATAAAAATAAAGGTTGAATAACTAATACAACAGTAATTTTAAAAATACAAAACAAACTGTTATAGTTTATTTAATACAATGTTTAACTATAAAAGTTGATAGTTTCAGAATTTAAATTCTGTAAAATGCAGTTTGCAGAAAACAGTTTTAACAGTTACTAGACTAATAAGAGAAGCAGCATTTTGAAACTAATACAATTGTGACAACAGCTTTATTCCTAAATTTCATTAAAAAAATATACATCACAGTGACTTTTGAGCTAGGAAAAGAAGTGCATTAACTTCACTTGAATTTTTCCCTTCCACAAAGAGAGCAGCCACGACTTTTAACATCCCCACATACAAATAACCAATTCATTTATCAATCCTTCAAAGTACTAGAAACACACAAAACAGAAACAAAATATACAGCAAGGGCTTTTGGTAACACAGGCATTTGCTTAAAAAAAAAAAAAAAGAAAAAAGAAAAACCAGAAACACAACTTAACCCCACAATTTCTTCCTATACTTAAAAACAAACAAAACCCCTCAACAACTCCCTTCTCCAACCTTGCTGATGGATTTTTATTTATGTGATTTTTCTTTTAATATTTACTTCTTGTGTTACACCACAGGCCAGCGTTTGCATTTGTCTGAATCCTTTAAAGGCAGCTGGGAAACCCGCTATAGGCAGGTGTCAACCAATGCTGCCCTTCCTGGAGTTTATCAATTTTTAAAACGAGTATTGTAACAAAACATATCTTTTCACAATAAACAGGTTATAAATCTACAATCCTTGGAGTTTATTCAACTGTAAATGTATGAATACTAAACTGAATAATTATAGTAAACATGACCGAAAGAAGACAGGAAAATACCCATTTTATGTTTCTTTATATCAATCAACTATATATATATGGTGTATATTTAAAGTACCTTCCAGTGAAGGGAAAGGGAACAAGTTTCTACAGAAATTCACTATAAAAGGTTCAAAGTGTGATGAAAAACAACTGCCACCTGGACGAAAAAGCATAGTGAGCTACTAAAAAAACCCCTAACTTTTCCATATACTAACTTGAAAACAAATTAGAATTGTCCTTTAATATCATTACTCAAAATACCAGAAACCCAATGTGTTCCTGTCCATAATATTAAGAAATGTTTACTTTTCAGTTTCATACCTTTCACTGGGTATAAGAATCAAAGGCCATTCAGCAAAGCCAATACGAATCAGTATCACACTTGTGCAAAGATAGATTTATCAAATTCTTTGAAACTTCTGTGAGGGCTTTAAGGAACTCTATTAGAAATTACAATGCTCTATGAACTCATTAACTGTAATTTAAAAATATTTTGAAGCAACCCAGTAGATTCTCTACTGCTCATCAACATTAATCTGTTGTGTCAATTTGTGGCAGATGGTTTACCCCCAAAAAAGAATGAAATAATCATGAAAAAAAATTCTCATATTGCCAAACAATAAAATAAACCAATTAAATACCTTTAGAGGATATGAAGTCAAAGATAGTTTGAGGTAAACTGTAAGCTCAGACTTAACTATAAAATCAATTTGACAGGAAAGAGCCAGCTTTCAGGAAGGAGTATAATCAAAGTAAAAGCTAAAGGTGGCACAACTATTAAAAATGCAATAAAAGGACTGTTTGAGCTATGTGCTATTCAGATATAAAGGCAGACGAGGTACAGTTAATGCTGTTTAATTATTTTCTAAATGTTTTTATTCTGAAAATAAAATCTGATTGTCATCTTTCATCTCAATTTCTTCACCATATCTGTTCTACTATAAAAACTAAGTTTTTAAATGTCTATAAATGCTTAGCATGGAGTTGCTCTTTTGATAACCAGAACAGGAGAATACTACTTACAGAAATTGCTAAAATTTTTTCCCTGTGGTTACTTGCCTATAATTCTTACTAGATACAGCTCTGTGATCAGACAACATGTATTTTTACCTAGCATGGGTTTTTTTTTTTTAATTGTTATTAGAAAACCTTTCTTAAAATAGCACCTTGAAGCTCAAATAGTTTATAACAGATATTTTAAAAATGTAATTTACTGAATTTAAAGACAATAACTAATTTAAAATATGTAACAGATTATATAGCTTGGGAACTCAAGACTCAATCATCCCTAAAGTAGGTCTGTGGTCAAGTCTCTAAGGAATCAATCACCCCAGATTATCATAAACATCTATCACTTTTATCGTCAGGAAAAAAAATTTAGAAAGACTTCATTGTGGATTATTTGCTTCAAGATATTCCAAACAATCTTATAATCATTACCTATTATTTGTTATGCAAACAGCTACCACAATGCCAAATGTTCATTACTGTATTAATCATTAATGGGAAGTATTATGTTAAGCACTGCTTTGCTCAGTACAAATAGCACTGAGTAGTTACTGGGTTCTACCTTGGTAAGAGTTGATACTACATTGACAAATATGAAAGTACAAAACACTCTAAAGGCTACTATTAATTGGAATTCTGAAATTTCTTCTCAAATGAGGCAGGTTTTGTGTTTGCTGGATGTTCAATATTTTATTTAGAAGAGAAATTACAGAAAAAAAGGCCACACATCACAAAAATAGCAATATACAACACACAAAATTCTAAATGGACTTTGGGTATCTTTTACTGTTTAACTCTGTAAGCTATCAAATTTTGCAACTTTCTACTCTACTCTACGTGGCAATGTTGCACATGCCAAGCTAAATAATGTTAACAGTAATGGTATAAAGCCATCTGAATAGAAAGAAACCAGAGTCATAAACATGCTATACCCTATTGTGATATATATAGAACAGATGCATTTTCTTGCCATTTGAAACTCACAACTATGAGAGTTAGAGAAGTCAGCTCAAGTTAAAAAACCAAATCCAAAACAAGAACCATGCAGAATTAACACTCAACTCTATATAGATCAGTGGCCAAAGAGAAATCTTGGAAGTTAGTATGTCAATACTAACAATTTTTAGAATCTGACTTAAAGACCTGCACAAGTGGTATGTTTTAGTGAGAAAAATATCTTCATTTTAGAGAAAGGTAAGAGTAATTATAAAACAATGTTCCCCAAAGCAAAAATTTCCTCTCTCCAGACCAAAAGCAACATAGAATTGAGAATTACAATCTGATCTTCCAAGGTACAGTTCCTGTCAGATGCTGTATAACAGCAAGTCAAACTCAATCAGTACATCAACTGAAAAAATTACTCAACTATTTTTGTAAACAGTTAAGTAAATAAAACTAGGCAGGAAAAATTAGTATGCATCAAGCTACGAGTGGAATTACAAAGAATAACATAGGCAGTACAATATAAATAACTTTTAAAGCACAAATTACTATAAAATCAAAAGTGATGACTTAAGATCTCAAGTTATTAGGATCCTGCTTTTCTGTGTTAATTAAAAGCTGCTGCTGCTGCAAGCCTCTACTTAAATGCAATCAGAAAATCTATACAAGATTTCTTCTATCTAGTGGCTTCTAAAGTTACTTTAATCATGAGAAACACAAGCTTCTGTAACAATGTATTCCAACAATCAGTTATGCTTGTTTTCAACTGGCTAATCACACAAAGTGGGATGTAGAATAGCATATTTGCTATTGGCTGATTGTTGCAACACAAAAATGCATACATGAAATAGTTAAACACAGCACACAGTATTACACCAAAGTGTTTTTCTCATTTCAAGTTTATTAAAACTTTAGCAGTACAAATTATCCAGGTTGCAGATTATCAAAAGATCAACTCAATAAAGTCCACATTAAAAAAAAAAAAAAAAGGACAAACATAAAACCCAAAAACAATGAAAAGAGGAAAACAACATAAAGGAGATTCATCAGCAAGTCTCTAAAACTTAAAATTTGAGCAGAATGGAAATAAGAAGTTTACACAACTCACTCATCCACTTTTGTCTTCATCTGTTCCAGGGCTTGATTCATGATCAAATTTTTTATTTTTATCATGTATGTGGTCATTTTCTTGACCCTTTGATTTTTGGTTTTCTTTTTCCACTGAGGATCTGGTCTTCTCATCCTCCTTATTTTTCAATGTGGAGAACTTTAATTCATTGTCCTGACTACTTTGTTTTATTTTTGAGAACGGACTTTGATCTCTATCAGCCTTTTTTTCCCTATTATTTGAGCTATTATGATCTCGATTTTTAGAGTACATTCTTTTCTCACCCTCAGAATTTTCTTTTCTGTGTGAACTCTTACTTTCTTGGTTTCTATGTTTTTCTTTGTTTCTGCTTTGACTCTCCTCTCTGTCTGAGCTCCGTGAATCTCTCCTCCGCCTCCTTCTATCTTTACTTCTTGATCTTCCCGGCGTTGCCCTTCTCTCTCGGCTTCGGGACCTTCCCCGTCTCCTGTACTCTTGTTCTCTGTATCTATGGTACTCCTTGCTTCTGCTGCGGTCTCGGTCGTGGCTTCTGGATCGCACTCTTCTGCTCCTGTCCCTGCTTCTGCTTCGGTCCCTTGTTCTACTATTGTAACTGTGTTTGCCTTTAGTGGTATCCCGTTCTCTACTTCTAGACTGGGCACGTCTATCCTTTTCCTTACTTTTATTATGATCGTGCTCGTTACTTTTTGATTCTAACTGTTTAGACTTCTCTTTACTTCTACTCCTTTCCTGATCTTTTCCTTTAGAATCAGACTTTTCTTTTTCTTTAACAATCTCATGATCCCTTTCTTTACTCCTTGACCTCACCCTCTTTTCTTCATGTCTATTATGCTTCGGATCTCTTTCTTTACTCTTGGATTTCTCTTTGCTCTTACTCCTACTTTTCGATTTGGCCCTTTTCTTCACTTTGTTTTTATTATACTTATCATCCTTTTCTGAGTTTCTTCTGATGTCTCTCTCTTTGCTGTTAGATTTGTGGTCTTTAACTTTCTTTTCCTTTTCACTTTTTCTGTTTGGACTCTCAGACACATGCCTGTGATCAGTTACTTTTTTCTCTTTTACTCTAACTGGACTTCTTTGATTTTCTTTTATTTCATTTAACTCACTCCTAAAATAAAGGAGAAAAAAAGCTTTCTGGAATTTTATTAGAAAAAGGATGATGTCCATTATTAGCCAAAATGGTATTCTGTATTTTTAAAAATATTCAGAAACAATTGAAATGGCTATAAATTGAACTTTATGTACAAGAGTAAAAAGCGAAATACTTGTCACTACATGTGAAATAATATAGGTAAATCTTACTTATCCCCTTTGATCCATCTTTCACCACTTGATACCCTCATTCTTTGTGCTCTCTGCATCTCTTGCCTCCAATGTGGAGGAGTCTCACTACGTCTGAAACGATCCCTTGATCTGGATCTAGAAGGAGTTCGGTAACGCTTAAAAAAATAAAATGGGAAAAATATTAACCTCCTAAGAATATAAAAGCATTACAATCATATCTGTAGCCTATACATTTCTAGGTTCAAATAAAATGTCTTATACTTCTATACCCTCTAAAATAACTAAGATTTCCTAATTTTCAGGTATGAATCCAGTGAGGCAAAAATACTTTACTCACTCATACTATAAATTCCAAATAAAAAGCATTACCCACACAGACTCTAGCCACCCATGTCCTCTTCACAGAACTATCCTATTTAAGTGATGCTACTGGACCCTAACAGGTACAGGAACCCTTACAAGTTGCCAAGTTTCAATTTGGAAATATGTATTCTTGATGTTTCCAAGCAAATATCCCATATTAGGAGAAAAACTGAGTAAATGCATAATGTTCATTTATTTAACCAGTATTTACTCAGCTCGTGGAATGGCCAACCACTCTACCATGTGTTGCAGAAACATTAGTGAGCCAAGGCATGTCTCAATTTTGCTCTTTTGGAACCTGAATTCTATAAGGCTAGGAGAACCCCTAGATAGATATATAATCACAGATATTCTCAAGCACAAATCAGTTACAATTAGAATCAGCATAAAGGAAATACAAGGTGCTCAGAGAATACGTAACAGAGATCCGGCCTAGTACAGGGAAAGTTAAATGATAATTAAAAGCTAACAACTAACAAACATGCATGAAGAGTTATATAGGCAAGAGTAAGGAAAAGAAGGTAGAAGTGTGAGGATGGATGGGTAAGGAAGAATATGGGAAGCATAAGAAATATCTTATTTGAAGGTCCCAAAACAGGAAAAAACATTGCACTTTTTAGAAATGACCATAAGATAGATCAGTATGGCTAAAGATAAAAACTGCCAGGGAGGGACGCCTGGGTGGCTCAGTCAGTTAAGCGTCTGCCTTCAGCTCAGGTCATGACCCCAGGGTCCTGGGATCGAGTCCCACATCAGGCTCTTTCCTCAGCAGGGAGCCTGCTTCTCCCTCTGCCTGCCACTCTCCGCCCCACTTGTACGGTCTCGCTCTCTGACAAATAAATAAATAAAATCTTAAAAACAAACAAGCCAACAACAACAAAAAACTTCCAGGGAAAGTAATAACTAGATAATACTGATGAGGTAAGCAAGGACTAGATTTTATAAGGTCTCATAGGCCATGGTAACAACTTTGGATTTATCCTATAATCGATGGCAAAGGAATGACATTTTCATTCTTAAATGACCATTCTGGGGACGCCTGGGTGGCTCAGTCGTTAAGCGTCTGCCTTCGGCTCAGGTCATGATCCCAGAGTCCTGGGATCAAGTCCCACGTCAGGCTTCTTGCTTGGCAGGAAGCCTGCTTCTCCCTCACCCATTCCCCCTGCTTGTGTTCCCTCTCTCACTGTTTCTCTGTGTGTCTTAAATCTTAAAAAGAAAAAACTTAAAAAAAAAAAAAAAGACCATTCTGGATACTGTTTTGAGGAAGAATTCTATCAGTGATTCTCAAATTGTAGTCCAGGGATCCCAAGACTCAGGGGATCTGTAAAGTCAAAACTATTTTCATTATATCATATTATTTGCCTTTTTCACTTTCACTCTTTCATTATTGTACAGTGGAGTTTTTCAGACTACATGACGTTTTAGTATCTTTGCTCTCATAGCTAACGGAATGTGTGCTTATATATTCTTGTATTTTAAATAGTTCTTGGTTTTAATTTCTAAAACTATAAATATCGATGGATATAACCCATATCACAAAAGCTCCTTTGGATCCTCAGCAATTTTTAAGAGTGTAAAGAGAAGGGCACCTGGGTGGCTCAGGGATCGAGCCCTGCATCAGGCTCCCTGCTCAGCGGGAAACCTGCTTCTCCCTCTCCCACTCCCCCCTGCTTGTGTTCCCTCTCTCGCTGTGTCTCTCTCTGTCAAATAAATAAAATCTTAAAAAAAAAAAAAAGCGTAAAGAGATTCTGGGGCACCTGGGTGGCTCAGTCAAGTGTCCAACTTCTTGATTTCAGCTCAGGTCTTGATCTCAAGGTTGAGTTCAAGCCCCACATTTAAAAAGAAAAAAAAAAAAAGAGTGTAAAGAGAGTTCTAAGACAAAAAAGTTTGAGAACTGCCATGAGAACAGTGAGAAGGCCATTTATAGTTCAGAGAATATACAAAGGTAAACTGAATTAAGGTGGTGGGAGCGAAGCTTGAGAAGCAGATGGATTTCAAAGTATTTAGAAGGTTGAAATGAAGGGATTTGGTTTTGGTGCTGGATAAGATATACAAGGTAGGAAAGGAGAGAAATAAAATGATTCTTGGGCTTTAAGTAACTGCACAGGTGTTGGGTGTCTATCAGTGAGAGCAGGAACCTAACGGGGGTCTGAAGAGGAAGTGCTTATGCTCAACATTATATACACTGAGTGTGAAGTGTCTGTTAAGCAACTAGCTGGCTGTCAAATAAGTCTTGGCACCAGAAAAGCAGATGAGCATTTGATACTTATCAACACACAGGTAAGCCACTGAAGCTGTGGGAGTGATGAGACTGCCCAAGGACCATATGCAGAGCAAGAAGAGTTGGAACCCTGAGGTACTACTCTATTAAAGGCCAGGTATAAGAGTATGAACTGGCAGTGGACATTCAAAATAGACTGGCCAGAGACAGAAAGAAAACAGGACAGAAGCAAGTGGAAAGAGTATTACAAGGAGGGAGATTAAGTAAGACAAAGACTGAAAGGACCCACTGGATTTTATGACATATAGCCAACCATATAGGTAAGGGCTATTTTCAGCAGAATGGTAGAAGATGAACTGAAATGGTTTAGAAATGAGTAAGAAGTGAAGAAATAATATGCCAAGTAGAGCCACATTTCTAAAAAATTTTGAAGACACAAGATATTCGGATGGGGAGAATCCAGTAAAGAGGATGAAATACAGGAACAGGGTTAATTTTTAAAAAGATTAAGAGATATAATGGTCAGGAAGTAACAAGGAAGCACAAGAAAGACGCTGATCTCATTTTACACCATGCACATGTAAAATCTATTAACATCCATATATTTTCAGTTTGGAAGTACCAACACAAAGACGTTACTATGAAAAGAGAACATGGGGCGCCTGGGTGGCTCAGTCATTAAGCGTCTGCCTTCGGCTCAGGTCATGATCCCAGGGTCCTGGAATCGAGCCCCACATCAGGCTCCCTGCTCAGCGGGAAGCCTGCTTCTCCCTCTCCCCCTCCCACTGCTTGTGTTCCCTCTCTCGCTGTGTCTCTCTCTGTCAAATACATAAATAAAATCTTTAAAAAAATAATAAATAAAATAGAGAACATAATTCAATATCCATATCTACTCTAAATATTTGTTATGTATAAAACAATATTTAAGAAACACTCAAGTTATTTATGATAAATGCAATATTAAGATTTCTGGGAAAAGAATCACCTACCCTTGGTCCTCTTCCTTTAATTTTCCTGCCAGACCTAGTAACTAAAAGTCGCCTCTGGTATGAAGCAGGCTGGGAGTTAGGTGGATTACTAGAAGGAAGCAAAGGGAAAATTAAAATACACACACACACACACACACACACACACACACACACACACACTGGAATATTACTTGGTCATCAAAAAAATGAAATCTTAACCATTTGCAACGATGTGGATGGAACTAGAGGGTATTATGCTAAGTGAAATAAGTCAGACAGAGAAAGACAATTATATGATTTCACACAAATGTGCAAGTTAAACAAGACAGATGATCATAAGGGAAGAGAGGGAAAAATAAAATCAGAGAGGGAGACAAACCATAACAGACTCTTAACTATGGGAAACAAACAGGGTTGCTGGAGGGATGGGGTAACTGGGTGAGGGCACCTGATGTAAATTAGCACTGGGTATTGTATGCAACTGATGAATCACTAGATTCTACCTCTGAAACTAATAAAACATATGTTAATGAATTAAATTTAAATTAAAACAACTATAAAAATGAATCTGGAGAATATACTTTACTGATCTAAACTGATAAATTTAAATCTTATACATAATCAGTAGTTTTCAATGTTATCAATTCCTACTAGGTATCTGGAAAAGTATGGGAGCATTTTTCAACTATCAATGACTAGACAGTGCTACTGGTACTTAGAACCATGAGTTAGGAATGCTAAAACCTTGTAATGCATGAGAATGAAGAACTATTCTGCCCCAAAATGCCAGCTGTGTGCTGAGAAACCCTGTTAATTAACCATTTTTAAGATGAAATTAACTTGAAAGCATTAAGGAAAATCAACATAGAAGAGTTCATATAGCTCAGCGTAGGCGGTATGCCACTAAGAAAATAATTTTAAAACTATCTTATTCCAGGGGTGCCTGGGTGGCTCAGTAGGGTTGAGCATCTGACTCTTGATTTCGGCTCAGGTCATGATCTTAGGGTCCTGGGATCAAGCCCTTGTCGGGCTCTGTGCTCTATGGGTAGTCTGCTTGAGATTCTCTCCCTCTGCCCCTCCCTCTGCTCATGCACACACTCTCTCTAAAATAAATAAAATGTTTAAAAAAGAAAAAAACAACCCCATCTTATTCCAAAGTAGCTTATAATCCTATAAGCAACTGTTCACTGTGAAGAGAACTATAGAAAAGAGTAATTAATGATAATAAAGTAGACACAAGCTGGCATGAATTAGCAAAACATATATATCCTGGTTTACACCAAAAAGGGAAACTGTTTTCAAAAAATAGTGAGTTAATATTTAATTAGCACAAATAATATCCATGTAAGTTATATTTGAAAAGTTCATTCTAAAGTAGTTCAAACATTATCTCTGTAATATTTATTTCCTTAAAAATACCTTTCCTAGTACTTGAGGAAAAATTAACTCAATCCAATCCACTGAAATTACTCCAAGTTTCAAATAACATTTTTTAAAAAGAAGCTAAGATTTATTTTTATATTTTTACTGTATTGTGAAAGTATACGGGAGATACTCAGAATTGTATTACTTTTATGTTATTAACAATACGATTCTAATCATACATAAGAAAATGACTTCAATCTTTTTTCTATTTTTGAACATAATTATTAAAATGATTTATAAAGAACCAATAGGCCAACTAATACTAATAATGTGAATTTACACAGAAAAATTTTCAAAGAACTTGAATATATCAATTTTCATTACCACAATACTATAAATTAGGCATGAAAACAGCAATAAAGGTTCTTACTTGCTTAGAAGTTTAATATATACAAATTACACAGTAAGACAGCTTGTTTTAAATGGAATTGGTCTGAAATGCTACAATGCATCTTTCTGCAGTGCTTATTTTTCAAAAAAGTAACTTTTAACTCAAAATCTGTTTGAATTAAATCAGTTTATCTTTTTAGATATATAGTTAACAAAAAGGAGCTTTGCTAACATTATCCTATAAAAAAAGATTTCAATCTTGGGACAAGGTCACCAATTAAATCTTGTTTAAAGTACATAAAGACTTAAAAAAAAAGTTGTTTTAAAGAGTGTAGGGCACGCTACAAGATAGACACATTAACATACCACTCCCTCTCTCGCTCTCTTTCTCTGTTTTTCCTTTCTTTTTCATCAGCTTTAGGAGGACTTTTTCTCATTAGAAATCTGTTTTCAGGTATAGGAGGGATCTCTTCTGGACGGACAGTAGACTGGGGTTGTGCTTCAAGATTTTCAGTCTCACTTTCACTAGATGCACTTAACAGAAAACATACCAAAAAAAATTCCATTTCGTTATTATGCACCTATCCCAAATTTCCAATTGTTGGTATTTCTTTCCTTTGTAAGATGTCACAATATATAAGCCACCCTGCCCACCCCCTCAAAGATGCAATAACATACAGAAAATCCGCCTTCATTCCTCTGACAAACCAGCTAACCAACCCCAAAACCAAAACCAACTGTTTCCATTATCACATTCTCAGAAAGTATTTTCCAATAAAATGGATCTAAAACATGGAACTCCACAGGCAATGTACTCTGATAAATTTAAAATACTTAAAAATGTAGGCAAAGAAATTAGTTGCTTTAAAGACAATAGGCATAAAACAAGTTTTAGTACATAGATTATTTCAGACAAAACAGAAAAGAAAGTAAATATACTGACAATATTTGCTTTTACCCTTGTTTTCATAGCAATAAAGGAAATAGAGGACAAAAAAAGCAAGAGAGACTGCTATAAAAAATAGGGAAAATAATAATCGGTTTCCTATAATTCTCATTAATCCTATATATTCCTCCTAAGAAACACAAACCTATAAAACCAAAAGCATCTTTTCACTGAGTTCAAACACACAGAATTGAATGGCTTTGTTGAAAATGATATGAATGTACCTAAATTTAATCTACAGACTGTAGAATCAAAATGGTCTTATACTTAATGCTAGGAAATATTTCTCACTATTTTAACATTGCCATACAGATGATCCAAAATCCCAATAAGTTTACTTTTAAACTGAAGGCAATTAGAATATAAAGCTAGTATTATAAAAGAATTTAAAATTAAGACCTTTTCTTGCTTTTCTTTCGCTTCTTCTTTTCTTTCTTGTGTTTTCGGGAATTTTTCCTATGTTTCTTTTTTCTTTTTTTTGATTTCTCTTCAGAAGCACTTTCTGAATCAGAAGAATCAGAAGACGATTGAGAATCACTTGAGCTATCTGAGTCACTGGATGAGGAGGAAGATGATGATGATGACTTATGTCTTTTCTTTTCTTCTTTCTTAGCTTTAATAAGAAACAAAAAAGGTTTTGGTCAGCACTTTTTAGATAAACTTTGTAAGTGGAAATTTAGATTTGCAGCAGATTCTCACTAAGTCCAGTATTTAACACTTAGCTCATCCAGCTATTTGAACTGAGGAGTACAGGAAAGGAGTCAAAACTTACGATTAGAATCCAGATCTTTGGATTCATAGATTGAAGTTCTATCTATTACACCAAAGAATTTTGGAAAAGTAACAGGTAAGTCTAAAACACTAAGTTGATTTTAGGAAACATTTAAATGACAGTTCCTAAAAAGCACAGAATTTTAAGAGTCCCGGATTCAAATCTTCTTGTGGTTTTCAACTTTTTCTATTATCAAGAATAGAGGTAGAACTGTAGGAGAGAAATAACACACAAAAAAAATACTTTGCATAAATGTGGAAAATAAGAAACATGACTCCACTGGCATTGGCTTGTTTCAATGCCTGAGCATTCCTCTAATGAATAAGAAATTTAGCTTAGTTGAAGAGAATTACCACAGAGGGTAGTCATTTGCCAATGGTTAATAACTATGCTACAAAACTATGCTACAAAAATAATTTCAAATTGAAATTTTATTTTGGATTAAGTAGGTAATAATTTTTAAAGGGATCCCAAAACTCAAATGCTTTAAGGACTAGGCAACAAATATAAATAAGTGAAATTAACCAGGTATGATACAACAGGAATTGGGGAAAGATAAGACAAACCGAAAAGAGCCTGACTCATCTAAAGGTATTCTAATTCAAACTATGGTGGACTTAAAGTGAAATCAGGCCAAAGATGGGACAACACTGATATATGGATAAGTATAACAAACTGGAACACATCAAATATATTAGAATTCATCAGTTCATAATGATATTGGTAAATAAAATATAAAGAATTTATCTGCTTTTCCTTATACAAACTGTACCACAGGCTAACCAAATAGTAAATGAAAGGAAGATGCTCTTTTATCAAAAGTATTCCAGGAATAAATGAAGCAGAAATTATGATTAGGATATCATCATTTTGCAACTCATAATGAGGCACTGACATCAAGAACTGCTGCAGAGCACAAAAACTACTTTTCGTATACGACACCTGCTATCATCAAATAAATAAATAAATAAATAAATAAATAAATAAATCCATCCATCCATCCATCCAAACTGCATCTGATCAACTTTCTAGACCTAACTACAAAGTCATATGAAATAGAGGCAAAAAAGAACACATTACGTAACAAAGATGCAATCAGTATAATCTAATGTCTGTAGTAATGGGAAACACTACAGGACAAATGACGTAGCTTGTTCAACAAATAAAACTCAAGGAAACAAAAGAGATGGTACTGGAAATCTGTTTAAAACAAAATCAAAAAAATTTCACAAACCCAATGTCTGAACCTTACTTGGATTCAAATTAAAACATTAAAAAAATTACATTAATGAAACAATTAGAAATTTGAACGCTGACAGGAATATTTAGGAATATACATGTGTGTACACATGATTATGATACTAGTTTTCTTAAAAGAATCGTTTTTTAGACCAATAATGAAATATTTATCAATAAAATGTTATGCCTAGAATTTGCTTCAAAATAACAAGAGGGGCACCTGGGTGGCTCAGATGGTTAGCGTCTGCCTTCGGCTCAGGTCATGATCTTCAGGTCCTGGGATCAAGCCCCACACTGGGCTCCCTGCTCAGCAGGGAGTCTGTTTCTCCCTCTTCCTCTCCCCACTACTCCTGCTCTCTCTCTCTCACTCTGTATCTCTCTGTCTCAAATGAATAAATAATTTTAAAAAATTCTTTAAAAAAACAAACAAACAAAACAAAATAACAAGAAAGAACTGGCCAGGATATAGGTAAAATGATACTGGCCAGGACTTAATTGTTGAAGCTAAGTAATGAACACTATTGTTTGGTTATACTACTTCGACCACTTCTGTATATGTTAGTATTTTCCATGATAAAAAAAAAAATCAGAGCACAAAGAAAATACATCTTTGGACTGACTGTTGGTTGATTACAGACCTTAATTGAAAGGGTTAACAGCTGGTTTACAGCCTTTCGTTAGCCTCAGGAGCACCTGAGGATCTGGAAGTTGGCCAAATCATTCTTGAAACTCTTAGCTCAGAATTTATAGGAGTGTCCTAATTAAAAGATAAATGACAATCGGGCTGAAGTTACTATGTCCTTTACCCAGGACTTGCGGTTCACCACACCAAGATTGTTTTTCCAGTACAGTAAGATGCTGCTGCACTGGAGAATAGGAATAAGGTATAAAAGGTGAAGGCAGGGGGAAGGGGAAAAAAAAAAGGTGAAGGGACCTGAGGTAAAGGCTTCGTCACACAGCCATGTTCCTCAGGATCATGAACATAACAAGAGTGAGATGCCTGGGACATATGCAAGCTCTGCCTAGAAATCATGAGATCTCTACTATGTTGTTGCTGTACAAACTACGCTGTTCCTATCCTGAATCCTTTCTTAAAGGAAAATAAACTTAGTGCTGAGTAAAGTCTATTTTGTATTTTGTCTCATGAGTCCAACTGTTAATCTGAACCCAAGCCCACTATTGTCAGTTGAGGCAAAGAATGGGTATGTAAACATATACAAACTGAAACATCCACTTATATATACTACAAACCTGAGAGATGGGTGGGTGGGTAGGAGGTAATCAAACTTAAACTGAAGGAATAAATTCATAATGAATAACTCTAAATATGAGATCACAAAATAGGCAAGCAAAATATTTCACATAAACACAGTAACGCTTTACTTGATTACCATGATTTACCAGATTAACAAAGCTTTATTTACCAGTTCCAACTTATATTTATTTTACATTGAGATTCTTTCCCATGATAAATACACTGCAGTTCGCTTCTTTAACAAACAAGCCTAATCTCCCCACCAAATGTATTAAATATATTTCAAGACCATAATTTAGTTCACATATCACTTTTTAAAAAATATTTTATTTATTTGAGAGCAAGGGAGAGAGAGACAGAGAGAAAGCACCCACACACATGCACCCACGAGCAGGGGGAGTGGAAGAGGGAAAAGCAGACTCCCTGCTGAGCAGGGAGACCAATGTGGGATTCGTTCCCAGGACCCTGGGATCATGACCTGAGCTGAAGGCAGTCGCTCAACCAAGTGAGCTACCTAGGCGCCCTCACACATCATTTTTCAAGAAAACATCTGAGTGAAGCAAGATATCACAATATGACATGCCAGAGATTTATGATTTTTTATGGTAATATAATCCGTCTGTATATCAGATTTCCACTATAAGAGGAAAATAAATTGTGTTTTAGGAAAAATGCCTTGGAAAGGTGCTTAGAAAGTTCTAAGGTTGAAAAAAAATTCCCTCTTCTGATGTTTATCTATTATTTTACAAGTGAAATTTAGTTTACATGCCCTTTTCCTATGATCTGCTCAGGGAAAAAAAAGAGAAAATGTTTGAGAAAGAAATGGCAGTTGAAGAACAGAAGAGTGAAAAGGCAAAAAAGAGGGACATGACAAAATCAGTATTGTTTTGTGTTTTTTTTTAAGATCTTATTTATTTATTTGACAGACAGTGAGAGAGGGAACACAAGCAAGGGGAGTGTGAGAGGGAGAAGCAGGCTTCCTGCAGAGCAGGGAGCCCGACGTGGGGCTTGATCCCAGAACCCTGGGATCATGACCCGAGCTGAAGGCAGACGCTTAACCAACTGAGCCACCCAGGCACCCCAAATCAGTATTAGTTCTAATAGAATATATCCTGAGTCTCAAAATCTGTGTTAAACTAAATTCAAAAATATGATTGAGGCACATTGTGAATCTGACTGAAACTTTATCCTTCTCAGATCAACAAATACAGATGACCACATCCTTGTACAGTCAAAATTCCCTGTGTATTTTTTGACTCCACAGAAACTTCAATGGCCTACTGTTGACCAGAAACCTTACCAATAATTATAAACAGTCAAGCAAACCTACATATTTTTGTAGGTTTATATGGATTATATACTGTATTTTATTTTACCTTTTTAGAGAGGAGAGGTGGAGAGAGAGAAGGGGGGGCGGAGGGGTGGAGGGAGCGAGCGAGAGAGAGAGAGAGAGAGAGAGCAACTGTAGCAGGCTCTATGCTGAGCACAGAGTCTGTAGGTATGGGCCTCAATCTCTCAACGCTGAGATCATGACCTGAGCCAAAATCAAGAGTTGGATGCTTAATCAACTGAGCCACCCAGGCGCCCCTATATACTGTATTCTTAAAATAAGTGAGAGAAAAAATATTAAGAAAATCATAAGGGGCACCTGGGTGGCTCAGTTGGTTAAGCGACTGCCTTTAGCTCAGGTCAGGATCCTGGAGTCCCGGGATCAAGTCCCGCATCGGGCTCCCTGCTCAGCAGGGAGTCCACTTCTTCCTCTGACCCTCCCCCCTCTCATGCTCTATCTCATTCCCTCTTTCAAATAAATAAATAAAATCTTAAAAAAAGAAAATCATAAGTATGAAAAATACATTTACAGTACTATTATACTGTTTTTATATATTTTTAAAAATCCATGTATAAGTAGACTCATGCAGTTCAAACCCGTGTGGCTCAAGGGTCAACTGTATGTTTAAATGAGTAATATATAGATAGTATATAGTACATATAATAGTAAATAGTTTATAAATAGGTATGTAATATGAAGGCAGGATGTAGAGTATATGGGCAAGTTCCATAGTAAACTTAAAAGATATGCACCTTCCCTCACAGAGTTTAGAATCTATTTGGAAAATAAGACCAACAAGTGTGCGTGCATTCAATAGCAAACAGCATCAGAAAATATACACTTCAGTAAATTTTCTAGAAACTGACTATAAATTGTATTAGGATTTAAAGTGAGTATGGTTAATAAACACAAAAGTAAAAAAAAAAAAAACACAAAAGTAGAAAGACTTTCAAGAAGTCAGTTCCACTGTTACACAACATATGTATTCCTATAAATCACTATGCTGTATATGAAAAA